ACTTGAGTGAAATAAAGGCCCGGGCCTATATTAGAGAATTTACGGTATATCAATATTTGACAATATGGTGCTTGTTCACTAGAGTTTAAAGAAAGTTGCAGCTATCTCAGCTGGGAATTTAAATAATAAAAAGCGGCCTTTGAGGATAGCCTTTTGGTTGTGTTTTTTTCCTGCACTGTACCAGAAATGTACCGAGCCGTAGGGTCCATACTGAGGTGCGTACCGAACTGTGAGTTATTCATACGGTTCCAGCACTAATGGACACCCAGAAGCAACTGTCTCTGCCTCCAAATCAGAGCTATAAGGTCTTAAAGACCAGTAAATCTATCAAATAGATACCAATCTAACAGAGAGTGGGCATCCACGCATTTCACCTTAAGGCTGGAGTGCAAAACTCTTAAAGGAATGAAAAACACCTGAGAAACTACAGAACTTAGCACAGTAAATCTTTAGTGAAATGTGAAATGATTGTTCCACGGCCACTGGAAATGAATAGTAAGGGAGAAAACTATGAACTCTCCTGCATACCAAAGGATTCTAGAGTCAAACGTGGGGCTTTCTTCTGCCTGATAGCCAAAACATGTCAATGATCCCAAACACAGCAGCCAATCTACAACCCAAACAGCTGAAAAGGAGGGGGAAAAAAAGGTGTTGCAAAGAACCAGCCAAAGTCCAAACTTTGACTTGATTGAATAACTATAGAGGGAAGTTGAAAAAAGCAAAACAAAAGAAGGGAAGGTCAGACCTCTCTACCTCTACGGCAGCATGACAGAAATAATACCTAGTTCCTTTCTGCAAACATCTCAGTGATCAGAGTTTATTTCAACAGGCATTGATAATGTGGAGTTTGAGGGAAAAGTTAATGATCACCGCATGTTTCTTAGGGGGGGGAAAAAACAACCTTAGAAACAAAAGAAACCGAATCTCTTTACAGTAAATATTTTCCAAGCTTAAGTTTAATGAGTTGTTTACATAAAATCAGTGATTTAAAAAAAAGTCCTGGCTGTGCTGAGACATGTACTGTAACACACCTGGAAGAGCATGCAGATTAACTTTAGAAGAGCTGCAGACCTGGATGAGCATGCAGATAACTTTAGAAGAGCTGCACACCTGGAGGAGTATGCAGATAACTTTAGAAGAGCTGCAGACCTGGATGAGCATGCAGATTAACTTTAGAAGAGCTGCAGACCTGGATGAGCATGCAGATAACTTTAGAAGAGCTGTACACCTGTAGGAGCATGCAGATAACTTTAGAAGAGCTGCACACCTGGAGGAGCATGCAGATAACTTTAGAAGAGCTGCACACCTGGATAAGTATGCAGATTAACTTTAGAAGAGCTGCAGAACTTCATGCAGCAGCAGACGTCAGGCTGACCGAGGTGAACAAGTTTGGAAAATAATTGCATAACCTGTTTACACATTACTGTGTCACTAGCAAGGAGCCACTGAAGGATGATTTATGGCTTAAACTGTTCATATCACAACTAACCCAAAACACACTTTCACAGGTCACTTACTGTGATAGATTTTGAGAAAATTTACCATGAACTGTCTTTTTTTTACCTGTAAACCTAGTATTTGTCGCCTTAAGATCAGAGAACAGTATTTTTAAATGTATTTATTTTCACAAGGAGGGTTTTTTTTTAAAGAGGAAAAATGTAGCAATGCCAACTGCAGCGACAGCTGAAGGACGAGTCTCCAAACAGCTGCTGCTGTGGAAAGTAGCTGATCGGGCCCGTCCGTTCAGGAAGAGTTCGCACCTCCAGCTGTCACCGAAGCGAAGCGACGGAAATAAATCAGATCAAACAGAAATAGGAACAACACTAGAATCCAAACAGCGATAAAACAGCAACGCAGCGCCTCCAGAGCAGGGGGCTGGATTGCTTTGGCTATCGGTGGCTTGGCTCGCGACACCCGGGCTGACTGGGGGCTCACTGCCCGGGGACACGATCTGCCCCGAGCGGAGGGGACGAATTAAAGGGTTAAATATGCTTCGGAACCGAGCCGCGTGGATCTGTTCCGACATAACCCGAACTGAAGCGGAACTTTACCTTCATTCGGAGGCGGTAGACGACGGTTTATAGGGAGAATTGGCAGCGACATGCAGACGCCCCTCTTGAACCCGTGTAGACCCTGAACGTCTCGGAAACAGAAGGAAGAACAACAAACGCGGCTTCCGCTCGTGCTCGTCATACGTAAAAAACCGCGCGCCTCCGGTGTTACGCAACATTCCCTGTAAAACCAAATGTATTATTATTTTGCCCTACCCACACCAGTTTCTTTCTTTATACAACAGAATGTTTTTGCCCTTGTCCAAAGAAAAACATACTTTTTGCAAAATTAACGTGACTGTTATATATATATATATAAAAAAAAAAACAATATAAACCCAACTATCAGAAACCGAGTAACTTCACTTCACCAGGAGGTAAGAAAGCTCAATCAAATAATAAGTTTGAAGCTGAATTCTTTTAAGAACCCCAGCATCAGAGCACAATAATTAACTTCAGATTTTTAGCTTGTTAATAAAAGGTAGGCTACTGTAGTACCTTTCTTCCATAGTCATTAATATATCATTAATTGTGAATACAAAATTACAATAACAGCTGTCTAAGTCTAAGGAAAAAAAATATAGACACATATATTTTTATTATTATCATTATTATTTTCAGTTCTTATTATTTATTATTCAGATCCAACCCCTGGTGAAAAGTGGAACCATAGTGCCATGGTTTGTTTCCACACGGACCAGCAGCAGCAGATATGGCAACCTGCACGCGCACTGTTTGGAAAGGTCAGTTATTTATTTTAATTCACTTTCTTTTTTAATTTTTTTCTGGACATGTTTTAGTTTTATAATGTTACTGTTTGTTATTAAATGTATTTTTATTTCGTTGGCCCATTAGAGAGACTAAACCTTTAGAATGTTTCGGGTTTTGATAGGAAAACACGATCGAGGTTGGACCTGTAATGTTAACTGACATATGTGCAGCATTTCTTCCCTTTAACCTTTCTGTATAAACATGTTTTGTTGTTCTGAATTGTTAAATGTGTGGAGATGTGCATTATTATGCATTTAAATTGCTCTTCGTCACATTGTGGTACCTCTCTGACTGTCTCTCTATCCTCTGGGCAGATTTTCTCCTCCTTTCTCCAAACTCGCTGTCTTCAACGTGTGATTCTAATCATGCTATATAGGGATGTAAATATTGATGATTTCTTGGATAGAGAGATGACTAAATATTTTTTTGCTTTACCATTTTTAAATGGGACCAAAAAAGTCAGCTAATTCTATGCAAAAACAGACCCAGATGTAACCAATTCTGCCTTTAATTGATTTTATTAAATGCAAATAGGTATATCAAATAAAATAAAAAAATATTAAGTGATCCAAATCCCTTCTCTTGTTTCTGCTAGTAGACAAAGAAAGTAATATGTCCACATTGCCCAGAAATTTGGAAACTGTTCTGTTTTTTTTCAAATGTTTTGTTTGAAAATGTAAATCAGAAATAATTTATTAAGCTTCTTAGAAATGATTATTACAGTCAAATATACAAATGATGGCTCTGAGAGCTTCTTTGCTTATTTTAAATGAAACTTAAAACACCTTCTGATTCACTTGATTGATTAAAAATATACCCCAACTACAGCTGTCAGCTTTATGTTACAACCCTCAGTCCTAAAGCAGTGAATATCAGGGTTAGGTAACAGTTGTCTGATAGTTTCTGTTTATTTTTCTTTCATGTTTAGTTTTGTCAGGATATCAGAAGCAGCTGCTGAGTTCTGGCGGTCCTACGTATACGGCTGTATTACAGCCAGCACCGAGGAATCTACCCATCCGGACCTTTGCAGCTGTCAAGTAAGCTAGCATCTCTTTAATATAAGAAAAAAATGCTCTGAGCCTAACCACCTAATGTTGGCTTTTCAGCTTCATCCTTTTACACATCAAGACTAAAATCTCTCCATGTTAACCACCAGGGCCCTAAAGAAAGACAAAAAGGACAATGCAAAGACAGAAGAGAAGAAAGAGAAGAGAATTATCGATGACAAAGACAGACACAAGCCATACGGCAAGACTGCATGGGTGCCTGTGGATGACGTCTACGTTAAGAGGTTTTATCCCAGAACCATACACAGCGCAGCAGACAGCATCGACATGCTGAAGAGATTCCAGAAGCTGGACTTTACTCCTGCCAATCAACCTGTCTACATCGACCTGAGGCTGGACATGAAGCTGGAGAAAAAGGTAGTTTAGTTCAAAAGTGCTCTGAAAGCGAAGAGGGGTTTTATACAATCTAAGCAACAGCTAATCTTACATTAACAGTGCAATACATGTTTTTCTTTATTAGTGTAAACAGATTTTAATTCCAGCAGCTTATTGAATTACATTTAGTCGCTGTGATTAATTGTTTCCTGTCTATCAGTGTGACGTCACTGTGGCAGAGTTTTCTATGAACCTGTAACCAGTTTGTGTCCAGAATGTGTGGGATCATTTTCCTTACTGTAGACCTGTGTCTGTCCAGGTTGGAGGGAAGGATCAGCCTTGATGATCCACTCTGCAGACCTAATTTTATTGTTCTCTGCACCTGTCCGGTTTTCTTGACAGTGATGGATGGACTGAATGACAGCTCTGCTGGGCCTTTATATAAACAGGAATGATGTATGAGAATCAACTCGGGTCCCAAGGAATGGGGCTTCAGAGGAACCAGATGTGATCCACAACAGACACAGTCTTTGAGGGTTTTTTATTAGAAGTTATTGACTAGATTGGGCTACAGGTGGTTCTTAGGGCACCATAGATCAGCCACTTCGCCTTCTGCCTGTATGCAGAGACATGACTGATCTAGATCTGAGCAGGGACAGTGGTCCCATATGTAAGCTTTAGGATGGGTTGGCTGAGTCGGAGCTATTTCAGTAAAAGATTTGAGCTCTAAAACATCAGACGATTCAGGGATAGACTTCCTGAATCCACAGATATCCTCCTGAGTTGGGCTGCGAATAATGATTGAGCTGCAACCTGATAATTTTTTTTAATTAAGCTGTTAATAATTATAAAACTAATGTTGCTTAATAGAACTTTTTTGTGAAGGAGAAACTTCTTTTGGCCAGAGCAAGTTTCACCTCTTTAATGCAGAATGTTAATATTTTTGGTACAGTTTTTGTTTTAATTTTATTATTTTTTGTCTTTCTTTAGCAAACGAAATGTTTTACAGGCCGTATACTCCAATGATCAATTATTCATTTACTACATTAGTTGACGGTTAGTTCAATTATTGTTTAATCACAGTTTCGAATTCTGGCACATACATCTTTCCAAAATGACTGAATAACATCACATTCCCACAAACACTGAAACCTGGTTCCCACAGAAATTTTACATTTGGGGCAATCTGGAGAAGTTCCCACATTGTACTTGCTAAAAATATAAGGAGAAATATATACATTATGCAAAATGTTATACTGCATTTCTTTAAATCTGTTACAAACAAGAGATTTTAGATGGCAGGAGCAGGATTTTATCCCATAATTGAGTGCTTATTTCACATTTGAGTAAAGTTTCCCAGGATTTCCTCAACCATGCCAGTTTTTCTTTTTTATTTTTAAGATTATTTTATAGAAAATGAAGATTAAAACAATAAAATGCATCAATAGTCTGCATCCTTGCAGAGCAGAAAACTGATAATCACTTAATTATTTTCTTAAGAAATTGATGAGAATGAATGCACTTTTTTTTTTTCATTATGCAGTTTTGCATTTTGAGTTTGTCTCTGATATTTTGATCTTTGTGATTTTTAACTAGAGGACTAAATGCCTTGAGTTTAACGGTCTGATCGAACTACATTCATTTCAATGACCTCTAAAAGTGATTCAGGCTTCCACCTGTAGAAACTGCCTTAGGGTCTTCCTGGGAAATTTCCCTAATCAAAATTAACACTAAATCATCCTTTTAAAATGAATATAATAATTGATTCCAAAGATTCTTGCAGTTTCCAATTTAAAATTTAGCAGCCAGTCGTTTACAGAGACAAACTAGCAACAGTATCTTTAACATAAGTCTGTTTTTCTTCTTCATGGTTTACAATCATCATCATTTACTCTCATTTTTTGTTTGGTTTCATATTATTAGTTACCATTTTTGTGTTTATTTTCATAACATTAAAGCTCAATAAAACACTTTACAACATCGTCCTGTTGGACATCTCAGGACCCTGATCAGTACTCATTAAGATGCTGTGAAATGCTAATTTAAGCAGTCACACTTGGTATGTTTGTTAGGATTTATGTCCTCTGCTTGCTTCCACTGTCACACTTCACCACCGCTAATCCGAGTCACACAGATGAAACATCGATCACTGCAATGTGAGCAGGTTGGCTGCTCAGCTAAGAACACAGAGGAATAAAACCCTCAGAAGTTTGTCTCTTCATCACAGGACTGCAGCCGGTCCACAGAGGACCCGCTTGGTCTTCCCCTCATCCGTTTCAACAGAACTAATGTTCCCATACATAATTAATTAGGGGGACTCCAGAGAGATGAAGATTTAAAGCGCTGACATCTGCCTTTTTTCTGCTGCTTTCCCGCCAAATCTTTTATCTTCCTGCCATATTCCGACTGTTCATAACCACAACAAACGAATGCTTCTGTTCTTCACAGAAAAAGATCGACCCCTTCGTCAGCACCGTGCACTTGCCGCACCCCTTCAGGACAGAGATGAACAAAGTTTTGGTTTTCACTGAGGTAAAAGGCTTTTACATGTCAAGTCTCTCGCCTTCCTCTCATGCTTCATTTAATGTTCTTTTTTACAGGCACTTATTTCCTTAATTTAATTTTATTTCGCTTGGGGCTTTTATTTTATAAGATGCAGATTTTAGTCTATGTTCTCGGTCAGTGATAAAGGTTTACAACCGAGATGAGCCCGTTAACTTCATGAAAGAATAACTCCTCTGAGGTCTAATGAGTCTGTTTCTTCAGGATTCTACTCAGGCGAAAGTTGCTCAGGAGAACGGAGCAGCTTTTGTTGGAGGCGTTGAGCTCATTCAGCCGGTAGGTCAATAAAAAAAAAAAAAAAAAATTCTTTGCACTGATTTGTAGCGAACAGTTTTGCCTTTTTATTATGAGCAGCTGTTTGTCTTTTATCACATGTTGTGATAAAAGACATGTTTCAGTGATCTGTCGTTTCTCT